GGATGAAATGAAGAGGTGAATATGGAGGTGTGGAGAGACGGATGGAGGGGCCTCTGCCCCGAACAAAAGCTGTGGTCAGGCTCAGCATCTGCTTCACAACCCCCCCCCCCCCAATCGCAAATCGTTTGTTTTCTCTGTGGTGACAAGCAGCAGCGTGGCCCGGCTTCTTTAATAATGTGTGTGTGAAAGAGGCCTCTAGGGAAGGAAAGAGTGTGTTCATGTTAAAGCAGCAGCGGCCAGCAGGTTTTAAGCTCCACATTAATTATTTTATGATAAACACTAACACATGCAAAGACACTCACTTGGACTCAGACAGTTCAGGATCACACACAAGAGTTCACACTGCGTCCAAAATACTGCAATGTTCAAGTCTGTCTGAAACAACAGCTAGAGGCCCATATGAACACTAGAACCTTCATATGACATTGATTTATTAAATAGATTTTTATTAATGAAAAATAAATATCTAGATGTTAGAAAGTAAACTTGTGTAGTTCTAGTATTGTGTTATACGGTGGACAGTTATACTGTTTTTCATCATGTAGTATTCATTTACGTGTGCTATATGTTTAGGTGTGCATGTGTATTTATCAGACGTCATTGCAAAGAACACACACAGAGCAGATAATTGTTGGCCTGTGTGGATCAAGGGTCAGTACACATGTCATGAAATCCAAGGGGAGTGCTGTGTGTGGGTGTGTGTGTTTAGGAGGTGTTATCTTTCCTGGTTGCTATGGTATCCGACACTCCTTTGCACACGGAATGCCGCCACTTGGCACGCAAACAGTCTGTAGTCAAACATGTCCCATTAGACCCATTCATTCATCAATCCCTCCATCATCCATCCCTCGGCCCACCGTCTGCTGCTCCCAGAGGAGCTGAGGAGGAAGAGGAGGAGAGCAAGGGATAGCAGAGGGGGAGGACAGGATGCCGGAGAGGATACTGGAGGTAGAGAAAGGGGGAAGACCGGATGGAGGAGTAGAAAGGGAATAGGTGAAGATGAAAAGAAAGAGAGGATTGAGAGGGATGGAAGGAACAGGAAGAGGAGGGGGAAGAAGAAAGCAAAGAATGGCAGAGGGGAAGGATACCATGGAGGATAGGATGCTGGAGGAAGAATATGAGAGGAGGAGGACAGGGTGGAGGAGAGGAGAGTTCACAGGTGAAGATGAAAAGAAGGAGAGGACAGAGAGATCGAAGAGGAGGAGAAAATGAGGGAGATCCCTGAGGGAGCATGAACTTTTACCCTGGTCCCTAAACTCATCAGGGAATATTTGGCCCTGGTCCCCGAGGGCCAAATGGACCAAGACAAGCCCAGTCGCATCCATCGCCTGCTCATTTTATGTAGCCAGTGTAGCATCATAATCACATCACATCACAGCACAAACCTTTTCTCTCTTTTCTGTGGACTTGAATTTAAGAGATCAGCACTTCTGGTGAATCTGGTGGAACACTGTCAATGACGGATTATCTGGCAACAGCACTGATCTTTCCTACGCTGTCACAAGAGCGTGTGGAAGAAGCATTAAATTGTTCACTTTGACTCATTTAGGGGCCGACTATTTAGCTGGCTAGCTAGCTTGCTAATTACTAGCTGGTTTTATGCTACAGTTACAGAACATAAAAAGCACCCCATGAACTGAGTCTACGTTACTTTAACATTTAGCTGGATGATGGCTCTTGTCTTATTTTAGCTTATGCTAATCGCTAGCGCTAATTGATAAAGCCAATGGCTACTATTGTCATTGATTACGGTGAGGTAAGTGCTGTAAAGGGTCTGTTACAGTGACAAAATACAGCAACGCTACAAGCTCTTACAGACATTTGTGAATTTGAGTTTACATGCTAGGATATGTGTATACTAGCGATCAACATTAGCACTAGCGATTAGTGGCGTCATGATTTAGATTCTAAATAAAAAAATCTATGGAATATAAGCGCTGGTCCTACTCTAAAGTAGGACCAGCGATTCCCTATGTTAGCCCCTGCCATCAGTGTGTGAATGGGTGAATGATGACAAGTAGTGTGAAAGTGCTTTGAGTGGTCGGAAAGACTAGAAAAGCGCTATACAAGTCCATTTACCATTTACCATAACTTTAACTCCTAATCGATCATCAAAACAGCTGGCCAGTTAAATGTTCTGACCGATTGTTTCAGCTCTAGAAAAGACCAAAACCAACAATGTGTTAGTCCGTCTCTCAACACTGAAGACGTAAATCTTTAAAAACACAAATGCATAGTTTCATCAGTATTTTCCTAAAACAGCTGGTCACTGTAACAAACAGGAGGAAATAGTGCAGTTGTGGGGACTATCTTCAGCGGGGGATTAATCCACATTTGGTGCTCCAGTGAGTATTTGGGGCAGCAGGGCGGTGGATGTGGGACTGGGTCTAAATACTACAGTGTGGGAGGAAACTTTAAATAAATACCGAGTATATTGCGGCCTTAAACCAGCCACACTATGTGTGAGCAACAGATGTGGAGTTTAAATGCGATCGATCTGCTGGGACAGAACTCTGCTGTTAAAGGAATTCTAATCGCCTGCTGATACCAATAATCTCTTCATCAATACCTCGGTGTTCCCGGAGGCCACATCCCTCCTTCTGTTCACAAACCAATCCATCCATCCTTCTGTGCATCCATTTATCTACACATCATCCCACCCTCCCCTGTCTGTCCTGACCAGACCTCATTCACTCTTCCTGCAGTTTTCCTTTGAGCCTCAGCCGTGCTGAAGACCAATCAGCCGCTGGCTGCAAACAACACATTGGCTTTATGAGGCGAGGACCTGGAGGGAGCAGAAACAAGAACAGAGATGGAAACAGATGGACAGACGGATAGAGACAGACAGGAAGAGAGAGGAGAGACCGTAATAAAGTTACAGACACAGTGGGAGGTTTGTGTTCAGGAGGACAAAGTGGACCTCGGGGAGCATTTCATGATGGATTCAGGGGAGGGATGAGTGCAGGCAGGAGACACAGGCTGGACCTCTGGGAGAGAGAGTTATTGATGAGCTGATTATTAGTAGCAACAGGCCATCACAACTCGTTTAGACGGGCAGCCGAATAGCAGCGGATTGATCGGAAGTATTTAGTTTTGTTTAACATCATCAGAATTCATCATCTCTCTCAAGAATTTGTGTTGATGATCGCGCTCGTCATTCAATGTCCATTTAAAAATTGATTTGGTGCTGATGTTGTACATCAAAAACATTTTAGAGACTTTCTGAGCCATGTCAAAGAAACTGCCGTTTGTATTGTCAGCCCTTCTAGTCTTAGTCCTGAGATCATACGTCTATGGAAGTTTTACATTTGTACATAGAGCATGTATGTACAGTCAGGGCCAGAAGTATTTGGACGGTGACACAATTTTTCTAATTTTGCCTCTTTACACAACTCCAATGGATTTGAAACTAATCAGTCAATATGTGGTTGAAGTGTAGACTTTCAGCTTTAATTCAATGGATAAAACAAAAAAAAAAAAAATCACAATAACCGTTTAGGAATTGCAGCCATTCTTACACAGCCACCCACATTTTCAGAGGCTCAAAAGTAACTGGACCAACTAACATAATTGTGAATATAATCATTATTTGTAATACTTGGAGGAAAATCCTTTGCAGTCAATGACTGCCTGAAGTCTGGCTCCCATAGACATCACCAAACACTGAGTTTCCTCCCTGGAGATGCTTTGCCAGACCTTTTACTGCAGCCTCCTTCAGCTGCTGCCTGTTTGTGGGTCTTTCTGCCTTCAGTTTTATCTTAAGTAAGTGAAAAGAATGCTCACTTGGGTTGAGATCAGGTGACAGACTTGGCCATTGAAGCTCTTGGGTTGTTTTAACACTATGTTTTAGGTCATAATCATAATCAATAATATTTGGTCGATCCTAATGTTTCTGCTATCTGAGTGATAGGTTTGTTAAGTGTTGTCAGCCTAACAATGGCCTCCTTCACTTGCATTAACACCTCTTTGGGCCGCATGCTGAGAGTTCCAAGGACCAGCTACCAAATGCAATTCCACATTTTCAATCCTATTATCTGCATAATTTTTCATGAAATAGTGACAGAATAGGCCGCACCTGGCCATGAAACCGTTTGTCAGACAGTTGTCCAATTAAGTTGTTTCAAAACTGAGGACATTTTTAGTTTGGGTTTTTTCATCATTATTTTGCTATTCTGTCATTACGTTATGAGTGACCTCTGACCTCCACCTTCACTCTGCTGCCAAGTCTCTCTCTCTGGAGAAATAACCACAGTGTAAAGATGCATGTGTGTGCTCTGTGTTTCTGGGTAGTTTGAGGGAATGAATGATAGGAGAGGGGCATGTGGAGGGTTGGCGCGCACACACACACAAACACACACGTACAAGTGCGCGCGCGCACACACACACACACACACACACACACACACACACACACACAATTTTCTTTGGGGACATTACATTGACTTACATTCATCTCCAACCCAAAATGTATAGATTTACGTTATAGGGACGTGCAGTTTGCCCCCATAAGTGAGTCCCCACAGTCTGACTGAGGCTTCATCAACATCAATACGTCAAAAACATCTCCGTCCAGACTAAACGAGTATCACATGACTATTCACGTACACTGGACATGTGTGTGCCGGTGTAAACAGGAAGTAGATTGTTGTATGTTTCTGTAACTAAGCAACCAAAGTATTATAGCAGTCTTTGATAGTAAAAGGTAGTAATGATACTTAAGATCAGCAGGATAAAAATAGTCCAACTGAGACAAAATCGATTTTCCAAGATCTTCCTGTCCAATACTGTCAGACAGCAAGTTACAGACCAAAACCACAGAAATAAAGTCAAATCAGACACAAGCTGGCCAATAACAATCATGTGACCACAGAAGAAGCCTATACATGACCCTTAGAGACTACATAAAACACATCCACATGATACCATTCATTCAGTTGTTCTGAAGTGACGTTATGAATCAATACATGAAGAGAGGTTCATATCAAAGTGTTCACACTCACCTCTGTCAAACTCATCTGGAATCTGTCAGGGAGGCAGAAAGGAGAGAGAAGTTATTACAATGGTAATCACATCAATCAATCCGTGTTGTGTGTTGACAGTAAACATGTTGGCATCACATCGGGATCATTCATACGTGTGATGTGACGACTCAGGGTTATGTCTGTGCTGACGACACAACTACTAATCAGTCACTTCGCCACTGATGGTTACACACACACACACACACACTCTATAGAAAACAACCGGAGGAGGACAAAGAGAAGATGAAGGAGAAAAAGAAGGATGACACAGAGGAAGAGGACAAAAAGAAGAAGCAACAGCAGAAGGAGCAAGGGAGAAGATGAGGAGGAGGAGTAAAGGTCAGAGGAGCAGCTGATGTGGGAAGGAGAAGAAGGAGACAGCGCTCACAGCCAGGGTGAAAGACTCCACCTGGTGGCCATGACACAGATGTGCATTTAGATATAATACAGACTGACCCACTCAATGTGATGGTCCATTATGTCTAAGAGGACACCTGATGAACGATCACAACAACACACTAGACTGTTACTATCACCAACTGCATGTGCAGTCACAGTCACTGGCCACTTTGAAAGCTTCTCTAGACACTTCTGTCCGCGATGAGGTGACTCATTCAAAATGAAATGAATCACAAGCCAAACGTTGCTTATAATTAAGAGAAAACATGATGGCTGAAGGAGAAGTTGACACCTTGGTAACACATTGGATTTACATCATGTCGGCTGTTGGGCTCTCCTTTATAAAAGGAGGATGAGATGAAGGGCTTTCTTTTGTAACCATTTGTAATTTACTAATTTTTGCTCAGTGAACTTGACTAAACTTCAATAAAAACATGAACAAATTTACCATCTGAGGTCCAAATACTGACACAGGCAACGATCAACAGCACTTTCCTGCTGTGCGAGAGAAACCTGTGCACAAACCGTCTTTAAAGGGACAGTTTGCATGCTTTGAAGTGGGGTTGAATGAGGTACTTGTGATGTCTGTGTGGAGTTTCAGAGAAACAGACAGGAGTACTGTGCAGCTACCGTGTTCTGCGAGGTAAATAGATGTTTTTAGGCGTCCACAGCAGTGCATTGCTTTGTTCCTGTGCTGGTATGATGACTGCCTTCTAGTGTAGGTATGGATAAGTACTCGTAAAGAAAAACACTCTAGGAACAGAGGACACCAACTCATTTACTTTAAAAGGTGAAGTATCAAAACGGAACAGGATGAAGCTGCGAGAGCGCAGTTTGAACATCCTCTCGTGAACAGCGAGAGTCGTTAGCAGAGAACCAGATGCTCACATACGGGGGTGAAGTGGAGCTCAGCTGCCATGTGGACCGAGGTGTGAAGCACGCCGTTAAAACCTCATCGACACCTCGGGACCACTGCAGAGGAGCAGGAGGGGAACAGGTTTCTCACACACCGGACAAATAATACAACACTACTACCGACAGCAAGTGTTGAAAGAATGTGGAGAACAAATCATTCTGGGATACATTATTGACCACCAGACAGTCTGTGAAATATAATACCGCTCACTAAGACATATTAAATATAATATTAAAATAAGATATCTTTCACAGCAGGAAAGAATCTAAACCGTGTATTACTTACGCGAGTCAGAAGTTGTTTCACAAGGCGTTCCCCACAAAGAGAGAAGTGTTCAGAGAGACCAGAGCCTTTAACCAACAATGCACAGATTCTGTATGTTCATTCTTCCCTGGGCAGTTTAAAAGCAGTATGTCTCATATATTCAGAGGCTGACGGTTATTAAAAGCAGTAATGTGAAGCGCCACTAAAGAGACAAAACAACTCTTATGAGCAAACATACCCACTCACATCAGATATGAAGGCACAGAAAATAATCCTAAGAGCCCAATCACAATGTTAACAGAGAGGAATAGAGCTGAAACAAGTGGTTTAATAACCACAGATCAAGTCCCTGCACACTAATGTCTCTCTTTAGAAGATGAGAAGAATATAATAATGTGGCTTTTTTGGTTGACATCCCTTTACCACTAAATTAACTGAACTTAAAGCTGCAGGGCTATCTAGTTATATACATTTTTCTATCATTAAGTACTATATTTTAAGAGACACATTTTTCAAAAGCTTTCCTTTATGTATTAAAATGTTTATTCCAGCCCTTCTTTTACTTGAAATGAAAAAATGTATTCATTATTACAGTATATATTTATAACTGATCCAGTTCAATTTAAAAACTGACAATAAATATTGTTGATACAATTCAGCTGAACTTTCTATATTTCATTGATCAGTCAGTTGTTGACTACATACAGACATTAATACAACTGCTAGGCTACTTCGTTCCTATGACGTTCCTGTGACGTTACTGTGCTGACGTTACTGTGCCGACAAAAATTTGCACTATGAAAGAGTGGCAAATAACCCTACAATAAACTATGTATTATACAACTAACATGTCACAATATTACAAATATACAAGAGCATCAGCTGACAAACATCCTAAAATGTATCACTATAGTAAGATCTTATTAAATCGTGCAGGTCCTCAATATAATTATCTAGAGATGTTCCGATACCATTTTGTCATGATCGATACTAATTCCGATACCTTGACTTATCGGTCCACACCGATTGCGGATCCGATATGTTGCGTTAAAAGCTGGTGGGATTTTCCAGTGTTAACTATTGCTAAATTGTTGACATTGTGCTTGCTCTGGAGTGTACTTGTGTAACCCTTTTCTAGTCCTCAGACCACTCAAAGGCTTTAACAATACGTGTCATCATTCATCCATTCACACACTGATGACAGGTGCCACCTGCCCATCAGGACGATCTAAAATTCACAGCATACCCATTCACACACCACAGGCACAGCCTACAGGTGTAATGTTGTAGGTAAGTGTGTTGCCCAAGGACACAGACTAGTGGAGCCGGGGATCGAACCGCTGATCTGACCGAAGGACGACCCGCTCCATCACTGAGCCACGCCCGCTCCACAGTCGTTAGGCTCTCCTCTAGCAGCGGCATCATTAATGCGCTCTCTCCTCAACAGAGATGAGAAAGAAGAGAAAAGGCTCACTGCATCTGCTGCTGATAAAAGTAGTTACCGAGTGACTCATCTCTGCTGAGAGCTGCACATGTGCAGTAGCGATCGGGCAGGATGTCGTGATCGGGTAGTGAGTAGAAGAAGAAGACAAAGTTTACTCTTGTGGATATTTGTATTCCACTAGAAACATACATATTCTGTTTGTAACAACAAACCAGTGCATTTAATATCTCTGGTTGTATTATATTATTTTGAACAATGTTTCCAATCAATGATCACAACCGAGTTGTGGCAATATTGTTTTTCTGTATTAATGTGATGAAGCACGAGGGTTTGACACATATTTAATCTGAAGGAAGAGAGCCCTCTATGTGTATTCTATATGTAAACAGTTTCTATCATTTACCAGTAAATGTAATAAGCAGATAAATCAGTAATCGCTCTAATTCCTATGAAAGAAGGAAGGCTTCTGGAAACCGAACTTGAAGTGGTAGAGCGTCTGATGAAAGAATGGATTAAATAGATGTAATGTGGTCTCATGATGGCACCACGGCTGTACTGAGACCGAGATGCTCCCTTAAGATGAGAGAAGTGTGTCGACTTCCCCGTCCGAACACATTAAGATGTAAAGCTGATGAGAAGTGTGTCTTTTGAAGAACTTCCCCCATAGTGTCGCCTCTGACCGCTGGGACATGTGCACATTGGGGGGGGTTCCCTCCTTGGCTTTGAAGTGATCCAGTCTGCCTGTTGGTTAGACAGGATACAGCCAGAAAGGTTTACAGTGTGTGAGACGGGGAATTCAAGATCGTTACAATACAGCATGGAAGAGAGACGGGTCCTGGTTCACACATCCTCCAGAATGGACTTATGCAGCTGACCGTGACCTCTGACCTCTACGTAATAAAGGTTTGAGTGAGAAGACACTCTCCCTGTAAATCAAGCTAAAACGTAAGGTTACTTTCATGACCATTTCATCTTTTGCTGAGTTTCGTTTTTGAAGAACTGATTTGTCTAAAGAAAATGTCTTGAAATTCCTCATTCCGTCTGTCCAGTGATGAGAAAGTGACAAAGTCCTCATGTGTGATACAATGATGAACTAATTATCAAAATTGACATTTATTTCCTGTATATCGACAAGTAATGATTTCAGAAAATCTTCCATTCTGGGACCCAAAGCCAGGATTATAAAAACTCAACTGTCACCAAAAACCCACTGACAATATTATATTCTCACAACTAGCAACGCCATGAACAGCACTGTGAAGGCAACCACTCTGTGGAGGTAACCACTCGAACTATCGAGTGGTTACCTTGTCAGAGTATTCATCAAAAGTACATTTTGATTGCTGTTAAAACTCACTGGCGGATTAAAATAGCATGTTTTCTTTTACCAAATTGACAAAGACACTATCTAACAAAGCACAAAACTGTAAAAACACAACATATTGTTGGATTCTAAACTTTCCCACGGTCCCTGAAGGAATAAGCTAAAAATAGCGATATTTTACCAAAATCACTTTTTGTCCGATATCAGCTGGGATCGGCTCCAGCACCCCGCGACCCTGAACAGGATAAGCGGTTTGGATAACGGATGGATGGAAGCTGTTTGCACTTAACACATCCAGTACAAAACATTGAATTCTGCACCCCTCAGCTGAACTGGGAAGCCATAATTGACTCAACTTAGACGGAGAGTCACGTGACAAAACGTTTGCACAGAGAGGACAGGAGTTAAGCAGAGACTGTAAACATGTAATATGTTCAATATGGATAGCATGTAGAGCCTAATTATCCCCCCTAATATTGGAAAAATGCACATATGTATGTATTGATTCCATTGTTTTCCAAATTTCTGTTCAATAAATCAAATAAATTAAACTTGTGTTTCCTTTCATTCTGATTTATGGCATGAATTATAGAAAGGCTCTCTACATGACATTCAGAGCGTTAGCATAGCATACTGGCGATCTAAAGACGTAGTGCAGTAAGCTGAGCAGACAATGAAGTCACTCTCTCTCTGGGTGGCGTGTGGAGGCTCTGAACCGGCCAAATAGTTAAAATAGTCTATAGTTGCAGTCCTCATTCACTAATTAACTTAATTAAATGACTTATTGTTTCAGCTGTAGTTGACATTGTAACTGCTCTAAACAGCAGAGAGGTAACGGCAAAGCGCACCTTGGTCTTACTTTAGTAAGTAGGTAGTGTAGTGGTGTAACGAACCATCGTCGATCCTTGATCTGTACGGACCGACCTCACGGTTCACCACACATGTGAACCGCTGATTAATGACACAGTTTAACGTTAAATCACAGAGTGAAATAAAGTTTTACTGACATCTTTATCCACCAATACTCAGTGAAATATGAGATCAGGACGTCATGTATGTTTCTCTAGCCTCTGATCTCTGATCATGTTACATTGTAAACAACCAGTCAGTGTTTGAACTGACGGAGGAGAATGAAGGTTCTGTTCAGTTACATTATGATGCGTTCAGGCTCTGTTCAGTGAAAATGAGTATTGAGTGAAGGTAAATTATAACGTTATCATGATGTGTTCACATGTGATCTGTAAAATGTAGTGTTGGTGAGAAACTTGAATAAATCCAGTTGTTTGAAGGAGATGTTTTCACAACATAAATAGATATTAGAGATGAATTATGAGCTGTTAACACTAGCTATAAGCAGCTTATAATACATCATTACAACTACTAATGACAAGATTTGTTTTCATCAATAAAATACAATCTTTCATTTCTTTATCATTTGAATTGTGTATTTTCATGATAAAAAACAAACACTATAGGTGACTATAACAATGTAAAAGGATAACATTTAGAATGTTTGATATTGAGTGGTTGAAATAATCTTTGGGACGATGGCAAAAGGAGCCTTGTAGACCAGCTGATATAATCAAACAACAATATGGATCATCAATGATCTGCAATTAGTATCAGCGGCTAAAAACATGATCAGGGATCTCTAAAAGTTATATTTGCTCCCTTTTTTTCTTTGGTGCTGATCCGATCTGGGACTCTGATCCGAACCGCGAGTGTTATGATCCATTGCACCACTAGTAACCTACAAGATCTATTCCCCGTGAAAATAAACAGTGAATGAACAGCATAGTAACTGTATTACCAAAGCAGACGCCGAACAACCTTCAGACCCAGACCACCCACTCCCACGGCACTGACACAGTGTCCTGTGGAGGGCTTTCTTTGAAGTAAACTTGGGTTCCCACACAGCACTGGCACACGCCAGCGACGCCACATGTCCCTGTCCCATTGAGCCGAGACGAGACAGAGTCTCGGGGTGAGGAGGCGAGATAAGTGTGCACAGGTCGGCCGGCACAGAGAAGTGTGTCGTCTGAGCTGGATGCTGCTGACAGGAAGTCCAGGTGAGATAAGTGTGCTCTTTGAAGAAGGCAGCAATCCTCCCCGGCTGTAAGGAAGTGAACGGAGCGGAGACAAAGGACTGTCCATCTTTCCCACATCCACACCTCGTATCACAGACAGGGACACGCAGCCCCATACTTGGTTCAAAAGAAACAGACTAACAAAAAATAGAAGTCAGGTCAGATTGTTTCGGTGACTCTTTGTTCTGCTTTTTAGCGCCGAAAAGTGGATTCCCATCCCTGCAACTTTTGTTAAAGATAATACATTTTGACATTTATATATAATGACGGTTTGACCAGCTGGTTCTTTGTGTTCAGGGTGATTCCCAGAGACAGCACTCATCTTGGTGGAGTATTTTATGATTAAACTATCGAGTTCAATTCCTCCGTCTTTTTGCTGCAGGAGGTCGAGTCAAGAAAATAAAATTCACTTCTTTCTGGCGACGGCTTCAAAGTCTCCGTGACAAAGAGCGCTCAGCAGGAAGCCTTCCTGTCCCGTTGAGGCTCCTTGGTACCAACAAAGGGACCCTAATGTGAGAGAAGTGTGCCCTTTGAAGTGGCCTGTCTTCCCAGGCCAACACCTCCAACAGTAGATCTGAGAGCTGCTCAGAGAATACCTCAGACCTCAAGTCTAGCTTTATCAATACAGGAATCTTTCATATTTATTAAACTGGTGCAGAACTATTTGATATTGATGTTAATGAATGAAAACATCTTACTGATATTTTCAACATAATCTAATCTCAAAAGGTCCACTTGCTCGCTTTCTGGAGCAACTTCATCCATCAACAGACACACAGATGAAAGCTCCGGTAACCTTTAACATTATTTCACTGTGTACTGACTATCAAGAATTCATTTCCATGCTCAAAAACAAAATGCAATTTAATTAAAAAAATACATTATTTTTTTAATTAAATTGTTTCATTATGAACGTAGGAATATAATTGTTACCAATTCCTGCTACTTTAATTAGGAAGTAGTTTATAAAATGCATAACACAATGAAACCAAAGCAGTGACACAGCAAACCATAACATTTCTCTTCAGGTTCTCATCTCATATGGAGGTTTGTTGGCTCTGTGTTTTGCTAGTTTTCTAGATCTAACCGGTGATCTGACTGACAGTGTGACTGTTTAATAAAGTCGGCCACAAGCTGAGCTGCCAATGATGACGATTTCCGACTCAGGCTGGCCATTAGTGTGTGGATTGGGATAATTGGGCTCTTTGATGAACCCGAACTCACAGCTCAGACAAACGCCATGTCTCAGTTCCCCGTCGAGTGTGCTGCTGCTCTTTATATCACAGCATAACAATGAACACACGGTGAGAGAAGTGTGCTCCTTGCTTTCCCACACTCCCTATCGTCCGTCCACATGTCACGGCCGCCTGTGAAGTGTGTCCTTTACGGTGTCCTATACAACAGGAAGAGGATCTCCTACCTAAGAGGTGCGCAAAACACCACCACACATCTGAAGGGGAAGCAATAGAGAGAGAAAAAAAGGATGGCTGAAATTCACAGCGGTGTGCCGAAAGCGTGCCGACATGAGCCGCCACATCAGCTCGGCTCAACATGAAAAGGTCCCATTTGAGCCTGAACAGATGGGTGGATGTGTCTTCACTGTGTGGGCACAAGCTTTGAAATCCCCATCACCTTAAAACACAAGCACTCACAGGTACTGCTGGTGATGTGTGCACAATCACACTCGGAGGAAATATGAGAGTGAGAGTGAGTGTGTGTATGAGTGTGTGTGTGTGCGTGAGTGAGAGACGGTAAAAACTCACCATGTTTCCTTGTTCGTCCACTGAATTGGTGCCTAAAAAAAAAAAGAAACAATTTATCATCTGTGAAATTTGCTTCAACGACACTTTTTAAAGTGATACAACAATAATCTTCAGGGTTTTACACACAAGTTCAAAGGTTAACATGTATCTATAGAATGACTGTTATAGTGACTCTATAGCCTTGAGGGGGAGCCTTTTCACCGATTTTGTAGAGATCTCAGGGGTGTTGAAGGTCAACACCAATCAAAATTCCTCCACAAACTGAAGAACTGACCACTGCCATCAAATGTCTGATCAGACTAAATGACTTCATGATTTGATCTCATAGCTCCTGATTAAATCAAGATTTTGCCAATTTCTGAAGGCAAAGTTCTTACAAATAAGACACCCGAGTGTTTAGATGAAAGCATCACAAGAAGCACTGGATCTCTGGGTTTGTATCGCCACTAGTCCTGGAACTTCTCAAATGACACCCAGCCTTGTAAAAGACGACGAGCTGATGAATCAACTAGTTGATGAAGAGAAAACTAATCAATACAGACAAAGAGCAGTGGTCGATCTATTAAGTGACAATGAATGAATCACTGGTTTAAACCATTTAAAGCCATGACGACAAGAGCAACACACAGTCACAAGAGAACACGTGTTTTTCCATACTTTCCTAAAAACGACAGACATGCAAACCACCAAAATATTTGAAGCATTTCTATTTACAGATTTCATTAGTATTTCGGCAGTTTTATGAGAAATGTCAGAGAGGAGAGATTCAATTCTTTAGCAACCCTGATACCTGTAAATACTATCTGCACGTCAACAGTAAAACCAAGTATTATTAGTATTTCACAAACCTATCTGCATGGAAACCACACAGAAAGACGCAGCGTATAATCCAGAGTCTGCAGAATATCTTAAAGGGCTGATCCATATCCATCCAAATCATAAAGAGAGCATATTCCATTCCAGTATTCCACGTGTGCAACAGAACGATTCCATGATAGCGATGAGATGAGGAAAGAAGTGGGAGAAAGTAATACTTTGGAAGTTAGAGATCCCACATCTGCAATCTTTTAAAGTAGTTTCTGAAATGCTAAAAATAAAAATGTAATTCCATCTCCATCATGCCCACTGCTCTGCAGGTGGCCGTAAATTATTAGAGTGCCTCATCATTTCAAATACTGCCTCCGTAAACTTCAGAGAAACAGAAAATAAAATAGAACAGGGAAAAAAATGGAGCTACTGCTGTGCTGCCTCACAGTCCCCGTCTAGCTGTGCTTGTCTGAGAGGACTCTCGCTCATATCACACACTTCTGTTGCCGCCCACTGGAAACTTTAACTTCACTTGTGTATTTTCTACTCTTTATTGTTCTCCGTCTGACTCTTCTCTGAAGACAAGCTGCTCGCCTCTGACTGACAGCTGCTAGCCCCGCCCCTCTGTGGGCTGTCCTTCTAAACAGGAAGCGATAAACCAATCACAGCCCTTGTTTACAACATCATCGATCCTGTCACTGATGGATAAGGTGGGGATCTGTTCAACTGAGCTCAGACAAAATACCATATCGTTTTTTTCTGGCAAGTAGGGCTGCAATTACTCATTAGTTTGATTTCTCTCAATTAAATAATCAATTGTTTGGTATTTAAAGTATCAGAATGAGCAAAGACACTCATTACCATTAGCAAGAGTCCAGGGTGAGTTTGGAAGAATTCATTCATCTATTGACAGAAAATGAATTGATAACAGCCAAAGCATTTTCTGCTTATTGTGACATAAAACAGAGACATCTGAAGATGTCCCTTACGGCTCTGGAAAACTGGGACTCTTATTGTCCCGATTATTGTTCCACTAATTGAGGAAATCAACGGAAGATTGATCAATACAGAAAATATTTATTAGTTGCCATTGCTTGTTTTGTCCGACAGCCCAAAACCCAAAGATATTCAATTAAGTACATAACACAGAGAAATCAGCTTATTAATTAAAGAGATAGGAATGTTCGACGTTTGGAGGAACCTCCACGCACTAGAAAAAGACTTTACTCACTATTCAGCTACTCATCAGGTGCACTCCAGATTAGACTATTTTCTAATGAACACTACAAACAGACATAGGGTGAAGGAGTGCTCAATAGGATCAGCAGATTTATCAGATCATAATGCAATCTATTTAACAATTTACTTGAATAACAGACCGAAGAGTACATTATGGAGACTAAATATTAGTATTTTAAATAATGAGACTGCTCTAAATGAGATTAAGAAAGAATGGTGACTGCATAAAAGATAACAACAATGGCCTGGTAGGCCCAACCATCGTATGGGACACGGTTAAAGCAATAGTGAGAGGGAGACTAATTTCAAGAACAGCATACTTAAATAAGATGAAGAGGACAAAATACGATGAATTAGAGAAAACATTGAGAAAACTAGAGAAACAACAACAAACAGATGGGGACAAAGGATTGTCAAACCAGATAAAAGAACTAAAAAAACAAATAGAGAACATCTTGAATGACGAACTAGAAAAGAAATTGAGATTCACAAAACAAACTTTTTATGAATCGGGCCCGAAAGCAACAAATATTTTAGCAGCACGTCTCAGGAAACAACAAATTATTAATTCAATACACAAGATCAGAGACCCTTTAACTAATAAGATAACCTACGAACCTGAAGAAATCCATAACATTTTTAAAGATTACTATGAAACTTTATACTTACAGACTAAGATTGTCAATGAAGATAACATTAAACAATACTTGTCATCATTAGATCTTCCTTCCATAGGAAAAATACAAAACGACAAATTAACTGCCCCCATCACAAAAAAAAAAAAAAAAAAGAATTGGACTTGGCGATTAGTAAATTGAAAACAAATAAATGCCCAGGGAGTGACGGTTTTCCGAAGGAATGGTACAAAATCTTTAAAGAAGACCTCACCCCTGTATTGCTAGAATCCTTAAATTGGACACTCAGCAAAGCTGAAGCACCACCATCATGGAAAGAGGCCGTGATATCAGTCATCCCAAAAGAAGGTAAAAATAAAGAATGTTGTGAATCTTACCGTCCAATTTCTATATTGAATGTAGATTATAAACTGTTCACATCTATAATCTCAAAAAGAATTGAACACTTTCTACCCGAATTAATAAATGAAGATCAGACAGGGTTTATAAAAGGTCGACAAACACAGGATAACATCAGACGAACCTTACACATTATAGAACAGGCTAATAAACAACATCTAAGTGCAGCTCTGGTCAGTCTCGATGCGGAAAAGGCGTTTGATAGTCAGCTGGTCTTTTCTGTACAGAGTGCTAGAGAGGCTGGGTTTTAATAACCAATTCATTAGGTGCATACAATCTTTATATAGAGACCCAACTGCTAGAATAAAGATCAATGGCTACCTGACAAGTCGTTTTAAGCTGTTTAGAAGCACTCGCCAGGGTTGCTGCCTTAGCCCCTCCCTTTTTGCAATATTCATAGAGCCTCTGGCTCAGGCTATCAGACAAAACAAAGAGTTGAAAGGGATCAATATTGCAAAGGAGGAACATATAATAGGACTTTTTGCAGATGACATTATTACCTATCTCCAAAATCCCAACTCAACAATTCCCAAACTTATGACAATTTTGGCTGACTACGGTCGGATGTCGGGCTATAAACTGAACATTACAAAAACACAGGTACTCTCTCTTAACTACATACCAAGTAAGGCAATTAGGCAGAAATATAAACTGAAGTGGGAAGCAAAATCAATAAAACACTTGGGAGTGCTAATCACTCAGGAAATGAACAAAATATTTGAAACTACAATATAATAAACGATAGGATACAGAAAGATACTAAAAAATGGTCAACACTAGTACTGGACTTTAGTTCAAGAATTGAGGTGGTGAAAATGAATGTACTGCCAAGGTTGCTCTACCTCTTCTTATCATTACCAGTCAGAATCCCAGAATCTCAGTTTACAGCATGGGACAAACCGATATCCTCGTTTATCTGGGCAGGAGCAAGGCCAAGGGTAAAATTTAAGACACTCCAAATTGACAAAGAAAACAGAGGACTAGCACTGCCAAATCTCAGCGAATACTACTACGCGGCCCAATTGAGGTACATTGTTTATTGGTGCTCCCCGGTATATCAAGCTGGATGGAAACACATTGAGCTAAATCTGGGTTAATCTCAACCTCAGGCAAGGCTAGGTGGAAAAGAATATACTGACCAAAAGGGAGAAAATTCCATCTTAGAAGATTCACTGAAAATTTGGAATGAGATAGTCAAAAATTACAAACTGGAAGGAGACAGTAAACTTCTGATTTGGCCTTCTCAGACCCCCAGGTTTAGACCTGGACAGATAGATAATACTTTTGTACACTGGAGAGTAAAAGAAATAACAGTGGTATGTACACTCATAGAGGGAAAAACTTTTAAAACTTTTGAAAAACTCAAAAGAGAATTTAATTTAGAAAATGGGGACCTGTTTAGATATTTACAGCTAAGACATTTCTATGATACAGAAATTAAAAGAGGGGTTTCATCAGAAGGTAATGAAGTAATTGAAGTGTTGACAGGTGCATACAAACAAACCCCCTCAAAGTTGGTTTCCAAACTGTACAGGAGTTTACAAAAACGAAACGGAAGAAACACACTATATGTAAAACTGAAATGGGAAGTACAACTGAACGTTGAACTGTCGAAGAGTGATTGGCATTCCATGTGTAGAAGGCAACAAACATCCACCAGCTTTAGGAGATGGAGGGAATTCGGTTGGAAGAACTTAATCCGCTTTTTTATTACACACCACATAAAATATAAACAGTTGGGTAAAGAGCAGCCATGCTGGAGACAGTGTGGGCAGATGAATGCTAACCGGACATGTATAAAATTACAAGCATTCTGGGACAGGATTATTCAGACTCTGGAGGAGATTCTATGTTACAAGATTCCCAGGGACCCCCAGATTGTGTACCTGGGAATGATACCTGGCGACATAATTCAAAAAAAGGACTTCTACCTCTTTAAAATCTTGACACTCGCTTGTAAAAAGGCTATCACAAGGAGCTGGTTGAAAAGTGACCCTCCAAGCCCAGGACAGTGGCTGGACATTGTGGAGGAAATATATTCTATGGAAAAATTGACTCTTTTTCTAAGGATCAAAGCAGGGATCCACGATCAACGCTGGAGAAAATGGACAAAAGGAAAAGATGAGTAGTGTTCTCAGGTGACCTGAAAAGAATAGAAAAATGTTTGTAAAGAGTGAATGGTGACCCCCCTTTTATTTTATTTTATTTTAATTTCTGTTTGTTTGTTTGTTTTTTGTCATTGACGATGTTTTGTTGCGTTTTTTGTTCAGTGCAACAGCAACTGAAAAAAAAAGAAATAAATAAAAAGTTTAAAAAAAAAATAGTACATAACGCAAAGAAATCAGCAGATCCTGGCTGAAAAGATGGAAAGTGCACATTTTGGCTTTAAAAACTACCAACATTAATAGATCATCTGGTAAAGTTGCTGCATAACTTTCTGTTGATCGTCTAATTATGACAGCGTATTAGGGCCATTGTGAGTAAAAATGAATAATTAAATACAGAGCCGAATGAGGGGGGTAATAATCTGAGATTATAAACTAATGATTATTTTTAAGTGACTTAATTAATTGCTAAACAAAATTGTTAAAATTCTGCTAGTCAACTTAATTTACATAAAACTAGAAACTAATGCAATCTATGTCACAGTGATTTTGTCTGATCCATTAACTGACAAATCATTCCAAATCTTCTCCAGACCTAGAAACACACATGAACCGTTAGCATTCACTCTGGAACATAACGGCTTCAAGATCAGTCCCGGATTAAATGAAGTGATGAGAAATAAAAAGACGTCACTTCATGATGATCACGAGCTGTGGGTTCACTCTCAGGTCACAGCGGTGAGACTCGGATCAACTGACAGCCAGATATTTGACTCCTTTGTTTGCATTATCCAAGGTCTGCACATCAGCCTGTTTGAGGCTAAAGCAGCACATTAGTCTCTGGACATAATGAGTAGAGCTCAGCTGATATTTCTAGTTTTAAATGACACACACTATCTTTGGAGGTTTTAAAAAGGACAGTAGACGCTCAAACGTTTCAGCACTCACCGAATAGATAGACCATGCCGACCGCTCCGCCAACCCCCATGAGTCCGGCGAGCCGTAGCACCATCTTCTTAGCGTAGGCCGTGTTCTCCTTCTGCTTCTTGTCCTCCGTGTGGTCTCCCTCCCTCTCGCCCTCGCCTCCCTCAGGAGGAGGCTGCCCCTGGTAAAATAAAAAAGATTGACCATCATTAACCATCCTGGATGCTGGTGATACCTGGACCGTGGTGGTGCTTACTGCTGCCCTGCCTGACACCCACTACTACTACTTTTACTAGTAGTTCCATTTACATTCATATGCTGCTACGTTTACCACTTTTATTATCATTATCATTATTATACTATATTATCGACTGCTGCTGGTATTATTAGTAGTCAGCATTATTCTGCTATTATTGGTGCTTCTACTGCTATTACTACTCATTATATTTGTGGTTACTTTATATACTTTTCAGGACTGGAAAACAAATTCAACATCCAAGTTCAAACAGTATTGTCCCCGTACATGCAACACTGTGGGGACATCGACTAAATGGAAGTTTGAATCACTTCTTACTTTGGGGACAACATTAGGGATGCACCATTCTGACTCTTTTCAGTCCCGTCCCCTGGGCTTGATACAAAGTAGCGCTCCAGTACCAGCGTTCTATGAATAAACTTTATGTCTCACTGTGCGGAAGTGACTGGGATCATTCTCTCATGTGTAATGCAACATCAGGCCTGACTTAAACAGTGCTTTCCTTACTTTGTGCAACAAATAAATACAACGAACTTGCTGAATTGTTATTTCTTATTAAAATAATAATTAATGCACCAGCAATTTGGTGAACAGTCTTTAAAATATACAGAAATTATAGTTTAAGCACAAACCTTTTTGAACGTATCAACAATTTGGTCAAAACTTAAAAAGGAATGAATATAATGTATAGCATAATTGAATTGAATAGATCAGCACTATTGTCACGGATACTCGATCCAGTCAATATCAGATCAATACCAAATATCGGTATGGGTGCATCCCGAGACAAAACTTTTTCAAATGTTAACAACGTTTGGTGTCTGAATTATATTGTTTTTTTTATCTCTGTTAAAATGTTCATTACTGGAGGACAGAAGAAAAACATCTAGAGCAGCCGATTCCAGACCTCTGAACGGTGGTGTGAAGTCAGTGTTGCTGTCAGGTTTGTTAACAGGTGACCCGTGTCATTCCCGTGTTTTAGCAGCATGTCAGGAACACATGGTGTATGCGCTGCAGAACTGCGTTTCCGGTAAAGGTTTAACTGAACGCGGGGAGGGGGTGAGAGTCTGTTCTGACCTTCAAACCAAACAAACCTTGGCTTTCCAGCACAGTCAGTGTAACTAACAGCTGCTAGAGATAAAACATGTCGCTTCGTCAAAGGCGTTTGGTTCAGTGTCTGTGAGGAGTTGATAAAAGCAGCAGCCTAAACGTTGCAATGAGCCAGAGAGATGAGGTACAGGTTAGATTGATGCTAACTACATGCTAACCGTCATAGCTTACCAGAGCCAGAGACCACACCTAATGTTATTGGTTATTTTGTTGGGAAGTGTACCGACTGGGCTCAGGTGTAAACTTGTTTAACTAACGTGTCCCTCCCAGGCGATACAAAAAGTCAACCAACCTACCAATTACAGTAATACGCATGCTAACATTAGCTAGCTAACATGTTAGCTTCCCTAATCTTAGGTTCATTCATTCAGCAAACACGCAGATGGAGCTGAAATGTAATGTTTATGAAGTTGACATTCATCGTGACACATGACTGGCAATATATAATCAATACGGTCTGCCACTCTCTGTTTGACAGCTTAATGTTTAGGTGTAAATCAGCTTTTAGCTTAAACCTGAGGCTGGAAATGTCAAAAAAGTGGCTCTGATTTGAGCTACATGGCCAACTTGTCTGGGCGGGGTTTTACGTCCAAGAGTTGCAGTGCATTCGCTCTCCCCGCCAACATTGCTGACACGTTAAAGAAATCGAGCGCACATAAGCAGGCTAGCCGTCCCACCTGACTCTGCTGCTGCTGCTGCTGCTGGAGTCTCTGCTGGAGGATAGCCTGAGCCAGTCCGGCCGTCGCACTGCCCGTTCCTGTCGGCGGCTTGTCAGTGGAGAGAGTCCGGATTATGTCCACCACAGCCAGGGAAGAGGCACCCACCGCCCCGCTCCTGAGCCTCAGGAGGCCCCGGCTTGCTCGCACACACATGGGGAACACAGGCGTAGCCGACATGTTGGATTGTAGCACAGTATGCCCGGCGAATGTAACGTGAAAAGGACAAAAGTATTTGATTGGCTTGGGCTGGTTTGAGTGACAGGCAGGAGGAGCTCTCAGAGCAGCGAGAGGCCAGAGCCGCCTCTGCTACAGGCCACATGGAGAGGAGGAGGGCGGGCGGTACAGCGTCCAGCCCAATCAGGAGCAAGAGTGAGCCTGACCTTCGGTTGCGTTATGAAAGGTCCATGTTGGTTGATGGCAAAATGCCCAAACTGCTCACTTACATCACCTGTATTACAAAAAATGTCAAAACAAAACTATTCTCACACATAACAACTTTAAATTTAATACGGGAAATATAAATTATATTTTAAGATACATTCTGTTATATATATATATATATATATATATATATATATTATTCTACACTTAACTATACCCATACTATACTGTTTTTTTTGTATTTAATATTATATTATATGTTATATTGTTGTATTATCCTATATTATGTTGTATTATATACTACCTTTAACCACATGTAATGTACTATATTGTGGGAATATGTATATGATATATGAATATATATCATATTCTATGTTATATTGTGTACTATTACATACAAACACTAAAGTACCATCATTTAATCACATCATCAGTCTGGTGTACACTGTTAACTTGCTGACTGCTCCAAATATACACTGCTGTCAATTTACCTTGTAATTTTTGTCCCCAGATGCTCTTGTATAGTTTTCTATACATTTTTGTCTGCATCTGTCTGCATCTGGCTCCTCTTTATCTACCAGATTGACTTTGTTCTCCATCTGTTGGTTGAGTGAACAGAGTTTTGGGCTCTGGAAAGCGGTGTTTCTTTGCTTGAAGGTGAGGAAACTGATGGGCGGACTCTGAAGGAGTCTAAAGTTGTCCTCTGTCTTTAAAAGCTCCTCAGCTTAATACCCATCTAACTGTTCTCTTGGCGATCTCCAGCCACGGTTGTCTGATTGGTGCTTCGGCCCATCGCTCTGCTGCTTTCTGCATCTCCTCCAAAAGCTCAATCGGCTCCACCTTTTTGGTCTGATTGGAGGCCACCAGAGCAGCAAAGGCCTTGACAGTTTCTGCCTTTATTCTCTCCACTTCCTGCCAACCAGCATCATTGAGTTATGAATCCTCCAAGCAGTGTTACACTTGAGTTGCCTTTTTGTACACTTCAGCATAGATTTGCTGATTCATGCGTCACATGGTTGTCCCTCAAGCACACAAAGTAAACTGCATCATAAACATTCAGACCAGCCATGTCATTCCATAAGATATCAGCCAACTCAAATTTTAAATCAAATTCCGCTCAGTATTTCATCAGGTCTGTCTCAACCATGACGCCCCCACAGGAGGCCTTACTGTACACTATGCTGCCTCCTCTGGTGGTCAGCTGCTGAAATCATCACCATCGGTTGTAGAAATCCAAGACAACATCAGATAGCATTAAAGAATTGAGCAAGAGAACTTCAGTAGTTTTCAATAACATCGTCTATTACGGTGCATATATGACCAGGTGTGATTGTAGTTTTCATATATCGCTGCATTGAACAGCACTCCTTTGATTCATTTATGGTTTATCAATAGGGGAGAGCGGGGTCTGACTATGACTTACATTTTATTCACAGTTTTGAAATCTACATTTCTGGCACCTTTAATAGTTTTCGTCTACCATAATGTTTTAGGATATCCACAAACAAAAAAATATATTGTTGGAAAGCTTATTTTCTGGCCTATCAGATTAGAATTGTTGTTGGTAGCATGAGTCCAGTTAGCAGGGGGCAGTTGGGACAGTGTTGTTTATAGTTCCTACCTTGTCACAAATTAATAAAAAGCAGAACAATTGACAAATGATTTTCCTAATTAATAATTCTCACTGATAGGTCACTGAGTGATTGTTTACTCAAATGGCAGCCAGTTGGAAACATTTTTGTTTGAAAAATTCCATATCATAGAAATATATGAATTAATGTATTTTTAGAAAGTGCTGTTGCTCCGTTTATGCTTTTTTGTTTTGTATCAGTACGTGACGCCAGTGACATGAATTGAATTAAATGAGAGCGAGAGAGAGAGCGAGAGAGAGAGCGAGAGAGAGAGAGAGAGAGAGAGCGAGAGAGCGAGAGAAAGAGAGAGAGCGAGAGAGAGAGAGAGAGACATCGGGAGCAGAGCATTAGTGTTGTTTCTGCTGTGGATCAGAGGAGAGACAGGTTCCTCATCACCGAACAACCAGCGGCTTGTTTTCAGGTAAAAACACCTTCAGCTGCATGTCTTAGAGCCGAACGCCTGTCTGTTGGTTACGATGTGTTGATTGTTGTCGGTCTGCTGTGTCTCGTGTTATTTCTGAGAAGATGGAGATGCTGAGTCAGAGGGACGATCAAAACAACCCCCCCTGAAATAAAGCTGCATTGTTACATTCATCTGGCAGTTTAAATCAAACGAGCATCGCGTGTTTCTCACATCCAGTCGATTGTGAAGAGGTTCACGTTTCTTTGTGCGTGTTTTCATGATCTGTTAGCGGGGCGTTTTTTCTCCATCTCGCCCTTCACTACGCACATTGGCACAAACCGGAGAAGCTTCGGTCCGTATCTTGTGCGTTTGATTTGTTCTGATCGTAAACGGCGCTGGAAGATTGGCGTTGTGCAGAACACACGTGTGCTTCATCTGTCCGTGTGTTTTTCTCCCGGTAATTAATTAATGTCTCCGCTTTGGTTTGTTGTAAAATGGAGGCTGAATGCAGGAGGAGGAGGAGGAGGAAGATGCTGCCATGGCCTCCCTCACTCCCTCCGTCTCTCACGACCTGCTGGTACACAATACATGGTTCTACAGTGATGATTGGAACACATTCACATTTAGACCATATTTCCATATTTCATATATTTCATCCTGTACATTATGCTAATAGCATATCATCATTATGGATCCTTGGTAGAAAAACAAAAACAACACATCCCATGTTCTCAGTTGAAAGCCAGTATTGCAAATCCCGGTGAAACATGGTCTAAATGTGATGCGTGCCTTTTTAGACCTAAAAATGCTCACCCTATAATATTTTACATAGACCCGTCATACTAACAAGTCAACAGTTTCCACTTAAAGGACAAAGAAAACCATGTGAAACAGGCAACAATTCATTTGTATTTATTGAGCAACAATTTGAATACAACATGAAAAATGTTCTTAAATACAATTACAATGAAACAGAAAAAAAGCATAATTGTTGACAGTGCAAACAATAACGAAACCTCCTTTCCCTTTGTTAAATGTTTTTGACAAAAGCCAGGAGCTTGTTTCAGATGGTCTACCTGGACGCCTGTAAGAAAAAAGTATTACAAATAATTACTATGCAAGGATGAGAAGAACTGCAGTTTAGCAATTTGACACAGCTCAGGATAAAAGATAAAGAGGGTGTCCTCTCTATATTACACTGTCATCCTCCATGCTGTTTGTATGTCGCTGTATGCCAAACAACACTTTGTTTTACTCACTCCCTCCATCCCACCTCGCTCCCACTGTTACCACTGTTACCACTGTTACCAGTGCTCCCAGTGCTCCCAGTGCTCCACTGTTACCAGTGCTCCACTGTTACCACTGTTACCAGTGCTCCCAGTGCTTCACTGTTACCAGTGCTCCCAGTGCTCCCAGTGCACCTTCACTTACTGGTTATTAAGGTATGGAACTAAGTGTGTTAGAGATTATCCAAAATAATCAATACTGCACCCTCATCCAGTACTGTACTGTACACAAAGCATGTGTACACACAAAGTATTGCAACGAATTCTGGATAAAAGCAGCCTGCTTTGAGGGATGCCCCGATCACGTTTGTTTTGCCTCCGATACCAATCGGCAATCGTTGTTGATCTATTTTGGCAGATACAGATTGTTTTTTTTGCTTTGTTATAAGAGCTGGTACAAAACTCCAGATTACTTTTATTCACCACCAAATATTTTCAACCGCTCTGAAGTCAGTGTAAACCATCAGAAATTCTAAATATTATCCTTTTACTTTTTTATAGTCATATGTAAAAAGTGGTTATTTGTATAAAAACACAAAAATAAAAGATAGTATTTTTGTTGAAATCTTGGAATTAGCAGTTTTATTTATGTACTAAATGTTCCTTCAAGCTAGTGTGAAGAAGTTAAACAGGTTATACTTATAGTTCCCCCTCTAATAACTATATTATATTTCTGCTGAAACAATTGTATTTAAGTATCTGGCTAAAAACTGCATGATTCCCTCAACAAAACGCCAACAAGATTTTTCCATTGGGTTTTGGATTATTGCAGAAAATAAGCTCTGTGGTAAACGTTTATGATACTTACACGTTTTTTACACGTAGATGCATTCTCCATAAGTAAAAAAAATAACATTAAATAACTATAAATGAACTACACTACGGTCACACGACTTCATGTCACCACCACAAAGTTGAAGGCGGACTAGTGTTTTGCATAATGACTGAGTAGTCTCATTTAGCCACTTGTTATTTAAGACACGTAAAACCTTCAAAATTCCCGAGTCGGATATTCACTGAGGTATTTTATATCAACCAAATGTTAACCACAGACCTTATTTCCGGCATCTAACAACACACACATACACAAAACTAGCTTTGCAACAAGGGAACAGGAAGTACAAAAACTCTGTCTCATTTCCAAAGTGTAGGACTCATTCCTGCAGCACTCCGTTATTTTGTCATCTCAGGATCTCAGATTAGTTACAAAATATCTACTCCGAGATCAGTAGAACATTTGAATTGAGACAATTTGGTCGACCAATTTGTTTTTTGGTGTATTTTCTTATGTAGCAAAATGGGACTACACCCCTTGTAAGTGATGGCATCTGTTAGCTTGTACAGACTGTACAGATCAGACTATAGAGACATTTTATAGTCTCATTTGACCTCCAAGATGATCTTTGTGTGCGTGTGTGTGTGTGTGTGTGTGTGTGTGTGTGTGTGTGTGCACCAAGCTTTAGATATGGGCAGACAGATAAAGAGGATGGTTACTGGTTAACAGGCTTCTCTTTGCTCTCTCTGTTTCGTCAATCACGTGCAATTCAGAAAGTGCGGCTGCAGATTAACAGTTTCTTCTTTGTGACAGACCACTATTTGTCCCGTGGAGTTAGATTCCTGTACATCCAATGCTAATGTTTAGTGCCAATGCAGGAGGGATTTACCCTTGTTTACAGACCTCTGAATCACTGCTCACATCAGAATTGAACCTTTCACTTGGGAACATGTGTAAAGATAAAGGTCATCGGTGTATGTTCTGCTTTCCTTCCTCCCTCGAACGTGCGATGATGGAGGAGAAGATGGAGGTTTGATGATGGAGAGAGTGGCTGCTGGATGGATTTCAGTGTCTTGTTTATTTGCTAAAGTGCAGATTTAATCCAGCGTTAGCCTTTTTGGCTACCGCCATTATCGGGTCAATTAGCGTGCTTTCCCCTCGTTTTCTCTGTCACACCCACATACACAGACTCCGGGCAAGTCAGAGTCTTGTGTGTGGTGTTAAGACACAGGCTCAGGGTCCACGGGATCAGGTCCCTTTGTTTGAAGTGCTAGTTAGTAACATTTCAGTCAAAAATAGGGCATCCTGATCACATCTGTTTACCACTTTGATATTGAGTATCTGCCCATAAATCTATTATTTTTATTATTTCATTATTATTAGCCTATATTTTCTTTGATTCCAACACAAACAGCTGCACAGTACACATTATTAGAGCTACAGTAAGCCCATTAAAACAGGTTCATCATTTTACATATGTTTCAAAGCAGAAAACAACCTGCACCACAAGTGTCTTGTAGTACTTTGTAGAGCTGAACAATTAATCGAAGATTATAATAATAACATAGATTTTTGGTTCCCACGATTAAATGAACACGATAAACTCTGATATTGACGTTTGAAAGGCTCCTTTCATAGAAATCGATCAAGATGTTTTGGCCTCACTTTTGGAGCTGTCATGCTGCAGCCTGTGAGAAACGTTCCAGAACGTTGCGGCTGCAGTCCAAAGTAGAAGAGTAATATGTTGGTTAGAATGTTTTGGTACAATGGTATTGATATTTTACATCTAGGAGATGCACTGTGAATAAGCACCAGTCTTATTTTGATGCATCGTTTTGTGGATTAGCAGGAATGCAGCCCAACATGGAAGAGGAAGCAGTATACCGTTTATTTAAATGTGAAAGTGCAATGAAATATTTTGCTCCTAAAATGAATAATCGTGATTAAAAAATCGTGATCTCACTATTAATCAAGATAATTGTGATTATTATTTTGGCTATATTCGTGCAGCCCTCGTATTTCATATCATATGGAACGATGAGGCAGGAAGGAGTTCAACAATCTCTCCTCATCTTCAACCTGAACAAAACACTGATGTTCAGGTGCACGTTTAACCAACAGCAGCTCTATAGCTAACGGTCTTTTATTCATGGCTGAGACCAAATCATTTCAATGCACCAACCTCATATTTCAGTTATCAAGCCACGTGGCCGTGCACGGTCCGACTGACGCTGTCTTTTTTAGATCCTTATTTTTCTGGGATCAGACGAGATAAGTGGGATAAGTGTCAAATCATGATTTTTAGATTCGCGTCTGAAGTCGACAGCTTTGTCAAAGCTTCCACTGCTGGGTGTCCTCACATTTGTTTGAGCTTTTGGATGTTGAGTTTGTTTGGATTTTTTTTAAATGCAGCTTGGACAACAATGTTAACACATTTACAGACGTTTAGACTGATCTACTTGTTAGAAAAAGAATTGTTGATGAACATGTGTGACCTGTGAAGCAATACAGGCAAGCAGAATATACATACATGATCCATATTGATTGAATTTGGTGGACGACGTTGTGTTCCTGCTTAAAAAACAACAATATTTGATATTATAAAAAGTGTCTCTCTGTCTCTCTGACAGGCCCAGCTGCAGCACCCCTCACCATGACTAAAGAGGAGAACCTGGAGGTCCAGGAGAAGGAGAGGCACGACCGGGAGGAGCAGGAGGAGGGGAAGGTCCAGAAAGAGGAGGAGGAGGCACTGACTGAGGAGGAGGAGGAAGAAGAAGAGGAATATGAGCTAGAAGAGGAGAAGGAGGGGGAGGAGAGGGCAGAGGTGGAGGATGAGGACGAGCAGGAGGAGGAGGAGCAGGAGGAGAGAGAGGAGCGGGAAGAAGAGGAGAATCCACAGGCCGGTCAGGAGTGTGACGCCGATCCAGAGCCCGAGCCGCTGTCAGTGTCCGAGTACCAGAGTCCGGTTCACGAGCCACGCCGCCGAGCCATGGTGCACCCCTCCGCCCAGGCACCGCTCCCCAAAGACTACAGTACGTTATACCAGCTTAAATACTACACACTGCCATACCACCTTAAATACACACTGTCATATCCCTTTGTCCAGGTATACTCTACCTTAAGACTATGCTAGGTCATACCACCTTAAATACATACTGTAGTAACACTGTAAATAAACACTGTTACACCACCTTTAATACACTGTCATACCACTTTAAATATATACTGTTGTAACACCTTGAATACACAGTGCCATATCCCTCCGCACAAGGCTTACTTAACCTAAAGACTGATGTTAGATCCTACCACCTTGAATACTGTCATACCACCTTAAATACAACCTGTTGTAACGCTTTGAATATACATACTGGAATACCAGCTTGCACCTTAAATACACACAGGCATACCCCTCCATCCAGGCACCACTACCCAAAAACTACGGTGTGTCATTCCACCTTAAATACATACTGTTATGGCCAAAAAAAAAGGTGGTCACGGCCAAAATGCCAATCTCATGACTACGTCCATTTCTTATATACAGTCTATGTGCCCAAGGGCCGCAATACATCATACCACCTTAAATACATATTCATACCCCTAACCAAAGTCTACCGTATGCCGTACTACCTTAAAACCATGCTGCATGCAACAGACATTCGTGTATTCACTTTCAGTAGGTACCCCTCTGTACTACGATTGCATTGTTATGTCACCTGGACATTTTTATGAAGACAAAACGGTACATTTACATTTTTAGACTGCAGAAAGTGGCACACAGTATTATCCTCTTTAAATCATATTAAGCCATTTTGTTTGCTTAATAGTAATTGTGTCCAGAGCTTTGTATTGCATGTTATGGATAAACAGCAACAGACTGAGGTCAATGCAGAGTCCAGCCTCTAATTACCACAAAACAACAACATGAAAAAACAACTACCGTAAGCTAACCTCCTCACATAGCCACAAAACGCACAGAGAGAAGCATGTAGTGGTGAAAAGTAAAGACACTATCTGAATCATAGACCTCAGTGGATTGTCGGTGCACACAGTCTGTATCAGTGACAGCTTTGATCGACCCATAGCTTTGGAAAGCTCTGGAATGACTTCTGTGTGGACGATAGGCTCATTGGTATTCATCAGACAAAATCAGTGCAGGCCAGCTCCATTATACACTCTGCATGTCCTCTCCATTATCCAGCAGGGAATACAGAGCGGTCCTCCTCACCAGCACCAGAGTGTTCATCATTCACTAAAATAAAGAGGATAGCTTAGATACTGAAATAGCATCAGTTATGGCAGAACTGAAGGCTTTTCTGGATCAAAAAGGTGTTTTTGCTTTTCACCGGACCAGTTTGATTGACAGATGGTTCATCCAATCACCTGCCAAGTATTATTTTGTTAGTTTCTGGTCCATGCAGATCCCATGTCAGCTTTTCTGCTGGTTCTGTGGAACAAACCATCTTGCTTGACAGATTAGCTGGACTCACCCTGACCGACCATCTTTCATACATAGGGGCCGATTTTCATTATGCTGGGGTGTCTCCTCGATTCCTGGAGGAGGAGGCAAAGAGGTAGGCAAGGAAGAGATGCGAGGAGAGAGGGGTCGAGACAACAGGCATTTGCCTGGTTGTATAGAAGTCTATGAGAAAATGACTCTATTTCTCACTTGATTTATTCCCTCAGTAAACATTGTAAACATGAGTTTATGGTCTCAATCTGTAGTTTCAAGTCTTCTTCAATACAGCATGATGTTCATTTAGTACATTATGGTCCATTTAGAATCAAAGACAACATAGAGCAGGGTATGCTTTAGGGCGGGGCTACCTTGTGATTGACAGGTCGCTACCCTACCATAGATGTATACGGCGACTCTACATCACTCCTCAGCGGTCACTTACGTTCACTGGTTGCAGAAAGCCAAGATGGCGATGGCCGAACTCGAGGCTTCAAAACAACAGTCCACAAATCTATGGGTCAAGTCACGATGACTCATCACATCTACATCAGCTGTCCATTGTTTTGCTATAGCATACTGGGTTTATGTCTTAACTTTTCTCATCTCCATCCGTCTCCAGCCTTCACCTTCTTCGACCCCAATGACCCGGCCTGTTTAGAGATCCTCATGGATCCTCAGACCACCATCCCGGAGCTGTTTGCCATCGTGCGTCAGTGGGTTCCCCAGGTGCAGCACAAGATCGACATTATCGGCAACGAGGTGAGAACACTAAAACACAAGAACACTGAAACACTTCCATCCCCGTTTTGTGTCAGTTTGTATTTCAACTTCTTAAAGTCACAGTGATGCGTTAAATGGTTAGACAAATCATTTATTTGTCAACTTAAAGCATTTAATAATCTATTATTAGTTTTAGTCATTTATAAAATAGGAATACTAAAGTTTTTTAGATTTCACTTCACTAATGTGGATCCTGTTTTTGAACCTGTTAAAATCAATCAAACGTCAATCTAACTTTATTTGTACATAGTAAGCACCTTCTGCATGCAGGTTAGTGCAAAGTGTTTTGCAGCTGACTGACAAGCTGATATAAAGACAGTACAAATGCAAACATTAACGAGATACTAATGCACACAACACATAGAAATGATGAAATTGAAATGATAAAAACAATAGAATAGATAAAATACAGTAAAATAATGAAATATATAAAAGGTATGTCAAGTTTATGAATCACAAGCATGTCAACAGACAGGCTGATGTTAAACCATCTAGTGCTTTATAGACTAGAGAAAGATTTATAAGATTAAAATGAAAATTGATGGGCAAATTCTGTATCAATATGAACAGATTTAAGACAGGAGCGCATTACAATAGTCGAGCCTGCTCAGAGTGAAAGAGCGCATTAGTCTCTTTGTCCCCATCCACATTTAAGGCTGTTCTTCAGAGGATAAAATCTGATTTAAATCCTGAGTCAATGACACAGAGGTTTCTTGACTGTTGGCTCGGGGTAAAAAGGGAAGAAGCTAATGCTAAAGCTAAAGCAGCTAATAGTAATGCTACAGAGGCTAACTTAAAGATGTGGCGAACCTTTAACCAGTTGTGTTTAACTGCATGTCTGCATCGCCTGCCTTATAGTTGTTCTGGCATGGAGCCTGAAATCCACACTCATTTTCACATTGACCCAGATTCAATACACACACACACACACACACACACACACACACACACACACACACACAGACACAGAGTTAATTAACAATAAAATCCCACTGAGCAGTGTGGAGCTGCTGTTAGAGATGTAAGAGCAATGCCTGAAGGCTGGACTTAGCATTTCAGATTTGATTCGGTTTCAGGCACAAAATATGATCAAAATGTAATATTAATAATAAAAATAATAGCAGAATTGAAAGCTGAGACCCTAAGCTATAAGAAGGATTCTTTGTTTCAGGTCATTAAACATTCATGAAAACAAAGTTATACATACATTCAATTTCTGCCAATAAGTCCCCCTAAATCCTACACACTGGCCCTTTAACACACAAACGAGGAGATGCTGACCCAGTTACAATGGCTGCATGGACTTCAAAACAGAGACAGAGCAGAGAGAAAGTGGTGCAGAGGGAGAGGGAGACTAGAGGGAATGTCATTGAGGCTCTACCATGACTCAGCAGAAAGCTGAGTCGGCCCGGAGGATTTAAACAGTGACATGACTGAAACAGACAGGACGACAGGGAAGTCTCATTCAGACAATCGCTGACATTTCCCTCCATGTGTAGTGCAACAACTTCCTCCACAAAGATGTTTTAAAGCCTCATATCTGTATGGTTGGTTGTAAATGATATTGTAGAGAGCTGAAGAGCTTCAGGTTCTGGTCCAAAAGTTGGAAAACCTGTAAAAACTGTTAATTTAACATTTTGTTTTTAGTGGCTTTTCTCCTATAATCCCAAGAACACTGTACTGCTTCGTGTTGGTCACACTAAAATTATGAGCATCAGAGAGGGACAAAAAAAACAGCTGTAGATATGAGGAATTTCAATATCTCCCACTTTCTGATAAGAACAATGGAAGTGTCAACAAACTGGCACCATCACTGGCACTTACCAAGAAATTAAATCCAATATTTACAAGTCAATTCAGCTGATTAAAAAGGAGCGCTACACTGTTTCCTCTGGGTTTCATTAGTTAACAAATTAGTACAAATATGTAAAACAATAAAACATACTTGATTTAGGCCGGATTTCCACATGAAACAATAATTAAAAATGAATGAATACATTTTTTTTATACGAAGTCAATATACGGTTGAAATAAATGATACACTTGAAAAGCTCAACAGTGTCTCTTTCCATAAATCATGACCTGATTAATCCAGATAATCCACAGAGCTCGCTATTAGTTCATAGGAACTAATAGCTGATGATTTCTGGAAAGAGACATCACTGTTAAGTGCCTTTTAGTTCCATTATATTGATAAGGCAGACATCTCTATGGCTGATACCAAACAATTTAGATTTATAAATAGCAGTACAGGCAAGAAGACAACTATGTATTTTTGATTTTGGAGTGAGGCTACTTCCGCCTATTTTATATCTATGATATAAGGAAATGAGGAGCGCGCAATATTCACGATATTCACCCATAACGAGTCGCCCATTTTCTTCTGTCCCTAATGTTTTCGTACAAGGAACAGACATTTAACTAAAGATTCATTGAGGTGATGGTGGGACAGGTGCAGGACTGACATGGTAGCTAACATACAAACACATACAGTGAGTTCTCCACTCACAAGAACAAAATGGCGTCTTTGAATTGTCCATCGCGTCTCTCTCTGTTTTCCTGTCTCAGATCCTGAAGCGCGGTTGCCATGTGAACGACCGCGATGGGTTGACCGACATGACGCTGCTTCACTACAGCTGTAAGGCTGGAGCGCACGGAGTTGGTAAGATACTTATTTGATATGATCCAGTCAGTCCGTCTGACTCGACCTGGTTCAGCTACACTGTGTTTGTTGGAAGGTAATCAGTAAAAGGAAGAGCCTTGTTTTTATCTTTTAATTAAACCAACAATTAACTGATTCTGCTGATAAATATAATGTGTTTAGCCAGCACAAAAGATTTTCTTCATTAATCGATCGATCGTTTGGTTTGTAAAAATAGTGAAAAGAGTGAGAAATGGCATCACAATTACCCAGAGCCCCAAGTAAGAACTTCACAATGTTTGTTTAGTCCAACCTACGGTGCAAACATCAAAATGATTGATAATACATTTATACATTATAACATCTGGAACCATCAAATGTTTTCTTCATGACAAATTACTTCAACCATCAACATAGTTTCAAATAGATTTTCTGTCAATCGACTAATTGATTGTTGGACTAATCGTTTCAGCTGTACTTGTACATTTTCCTATGTTTTGGATGCAAACATCTGAATTAATCAATTAACTGAAGCTGTCAATCAAATGTAGAGGAGTAGAAGTATTGTAGAAAGTGTCATTAAGACCCACACGTCCTACGGGTTTAGTGAAATGACTCCAATGAGCAGAGATAAAGCCCAACATCAGTTCAGTCAGTGATCTCGGAGGATCTGTGGTGTGACGGGCGGCGTCGGGGTCGGTGGTTCTTTGTGCTCCTCTTAGCTCGGTCCTCACTGTGTGTGCAGGTGACCCGGCGGCCGCGCTCCGTCTCAGCAGCCAGCTGATCGCTCTGGGCGCCGACGTGAGTCTGAGGAGCCGCTGGACCAACATGAACGCTCTGCACTATGCCGCTTACTTCGACGTCCCAGAACTGATCCGAGTCCTGCTCAAAGCCACTAAACCAAGAGGTACACACACACACACACACACACACACACACACACACACACACACACA